TATAGGAGGGAAGCCTACTCCATTGTGTAATGTTACAGAAATCTTTATGAACAAGCTCAAAATGATCTGGGCCAAGTTTGTGAGTTTGTGTTCATGCATATGCCCTGTGATTGTGCCATGTAATTTCAAAATGCAAATAGTGACCTAGATAATGCAACTCTGTCCTCCCTCACTGGAGACCCATTAAAGGACACAGGGCCTCAGGCAGGAGTTTGTCAAGGTGATGTATAGTGCACAGGTGTGCTTTCCAAGGTCAATGAACGAACTAATTAAGGGCAGTGTTGTAGGACTCGTACTCGGTACTCGTACTCGAGTACTACTCAAGTACTTGAGTACTTTTTTTGGAGTACTCGTATAAGTTTGTACTCGTACTCGAGTGTCAAAGTACTCATACTCAATATGACGGTACTCGTACTCTAGCAGCAAAGTACTCGTACTCGCACATGTTGAAATTGTACTCGATCATCAAAGTACTCGTACTCGAATAACAGTACTCAATAAAACAAAGTACTTGTACTGGAATAGCGGTACTCGATTAAAAAAGTGGTATATCACTTACGTTTCCACGGCCTTATTTTATCGATACTTTCAGTTTCAAATGGTCCATTTGGGAGAAATCAATAATTGTCTTTACTCTATCACGTCCGGACAAACACAATTAATAGCTAGCCATGACTGGGTCTGTATATAGGTCTGACTGGGCCTGGGCCAATTACGCACAATGACCCATTTGCCGTATGTGGGTACAATGGCCCATCATTGTACACACTGTACGTCAAGCAAGGTGTTCCTCAAAATGGTCATGCGATTAACTTGGCTGATTGGAGCAAAGCCGTTTTGGCTGATTGGAGCAAAGCCGTTTTCTGAACCCCAGTTTCGGTCCTATCATTTTGGTCCAGCCCCATTGCCAATCTGCATGAATGGAGAAAGAGGTGCAGCCAAAGCCAAGGTTTGAAAAAAAACAGCCCCTAGTCTGGGTACTGCAGCAGGTCCACAGCGGAATAGTCTTGAAACAGAGGCCTAGGAATGGGAAGCAGACTAAATGCGTAGACACCAAGAAAACGCGAATCTGCTGGGTTTTTTTTTGCAAGCGCGTTGCATGCGTACTTTACACGTGTTCCGTCAACGTTCACTTACGCTTGCCTGTGTGGCACTTTTCACTTTTTTTGTATCAAAATTGTATACGTTGTTCGTGCAAATAATAATAATAATGATGAATAATACTATGAATAATAATAATAATAATGAAATGCACAATACTGTAGATTAATTTTATTAAATGACAGTTGACCTAAACTTTCGTGTTTGTATCTCAGCTGTGTAGCATTTCCTTGGAAAAATACACTTACATTGATTGGAGACTGCTGTTGCCGAATTAAAAAAATCAAATAATTGAAAAAGCTTATAAAGATGAACCCTAGTTTGTATCACAAGTGATTAACAGTACACACAATTTTAGGCTTCAAGTTCAAGCACAATGTACCTGGTGCCGTATTCGGAAATACAATACAAGTACTCGTACTCGTACCCCTACTCAGAATACAAGTATTCGTACTCGTACCCCTACTGGACGTACAAGTACATGTACATTGTACTCGTACTCGTACTCAGGCATTCAAGTACTCGTACTCGGAGACCTGTTCTTGTACTCAAAAGTACATGTACTCATACTCGTACCTGTACTCAGCAACCTAGGTACTCTGCAGTACTTGGTACTCGGCAAAAAGTACTTGACTACAACACTGAGTAAGGGAGAGACAGGACGACTTGTAGAGCTGCTTTCCGCTTCTAGAAATAAGGTTCACTGCTACACTTTCATTCTTGGAATGAAGGCATCAATGTACATGTGTGTAAACATTTACCCATCATGTAATTGGGCAGAAAAAAATTGGGAAACGTTCTCGCCTTTATTCCAATAAAATATGAAAAATTGTGCATGTACAGTATGTAAATGTAAACGATTTCTCTGAATATTTTTTTTTACATCTGAACTGAAATTGGGTCAAGTTTGGCAGAAAAAGTCTTTAAAAAGGTTCCTACAACAGGGGCATTGGATTTACTGTATTGAAAGATTGTTTGAGAAAACTAGACCATATATTCAGAGTTTTTACCCCTCAGCCGTTAGAAATGGAATTTTGGTGTCTAACTTTGGAAGGGGTTGCCTTTGGGAGTAGGCAAGTTGGGATTGGTTTTGGGGTCAAAAGGTCAAAGGTCAAGGTCACCGTGGTGAGTTAAAGGAAAATGGTTTCTGGATGATAACTTGAGTTAGAAATCACATTTTGCTGTCAAACTTTGGTAGGGGGTTGCCCTTGGGTACAGGCAAGTTGGGTTTGGTTTTGGGGTCAAAAGGTCAAGGTCACCTTGGTCATTTAAAGGTAAATGGTTTTTGGATGATAACTTGAGTGAGAACTGAAATTTTGGTTTCTAACTTCAGTAGGGGGTTGCCCATAGGCATGTTGGGATTGGTTCTGGGGCCAAACAAAGGTCAAGGCCACCATGTTGAGTTAAAGGTTAATGGTTTATGGATGATAACTTGACTCTGGCTGATGGGTTTCAACAGCAAAGCTGTTATTTTCTTTTTACCTATGGTCTAGGAGGATGCCACAGTGGTAGCTCCTTGTGCCTCAGTTTTCCGCTGGTTTAAAGATCTTATAGATTAAGCTGAAATTCGGAACATACTTGGATGATATAAGTGAACAACTACTAGTGAAATAACAACTTGGAGAAATTCCTAGAAATTCTTCTCGACTTTAAGGTCAGCTTTACCAGTAACCAAGTATTGACCTTTTGGCATCGATGACGGCGATTTTTTCACGGACATGAAGTTAAGAATTTCTATTTCTGTTATAATTTAACATTTCATTCTTACTGAGCATATTTTCTGAGAAACACAATGTTCAAAAGGCCATGTTTTTTTGGGTGCATGAATTTCACTGCTCTGTTATAGCGTCTAAGTATGTAATCGGATTAGCTTTGTATCAACGGCAGACGCTTTGCCTTCGCAACCATATGGCTGCAAAGAGACATTCATCCATGAAATTCCCTGTAATTAGTAAATGTATGGTGTCATCACTGTCATGTCCACAGGGGTTGCAGGGGAGGACAACAGAAAAAGCCAGATAATCTAAACACTCATAAGGAGAATCTAACACACCGTCCTGACATGATTACATGCCCAAGTGAGCTTGCAATGAACCGATCCAGTAAGCCCCGCCCACTGCGCACGTGGGCAAATTAACACGTGCTCCTCTCCAATGCCACACTGCATTTTCCTGCCGCGCGCATCATACGCGCGTGCAAGCATGTCGGACTTTTGTGCAGGCAAGTCGGACATAAATCACGGCTGTGATTGTTCAGAATACCATGGGGCGGTGCTTACTGGATCGGTCCATTAAGTGATCAGATTACAATATTATATTTTTGCTTCTAGCTATTTATTTTATTTAAAAAAACCCAACTTTTTTGCATTGCAGTAAATGTTATTATTTTATAGAGAAATTAGGGAAGGGTGGGGTTAGTTGAGGATGGGGTGGGTGAGGGTGGGGAGGGAGGTGGGGGAAAGGGTGGGGGAGTGTGGTAAGGGTGGGGGGAGTGTGGCGATGGTGTTTATATGGTACATGTACATACACGTAAGGGCATTTGATCTTCTACTTAGTTCAATCTTTTAGTTAATGGGGGTAGGGGTGGGGATAGAGGTGGGGTGGGAGAGGGTTTGGTTTGGGTTCGGGAGGATGGGGGTGGGTGGGGTGGATGGGGAAGTGTGATGGGGAAGTGTGATGGGGAAGTGTGGTGATGTGGTACATGTACATAAGTATACATGTAAGGGCATTTGATCTTTTAATTTAGTTCGATGATTTTTTACTTTGTGGGATGGGGCTGGAGTGGGGTAGGGGAGGGTTGGGTTGGGGATATGGTGAGGGGGGGGGGGGAAGTGTGGTGATGGTAGTGATGTGGTACATGTACATTCATGTAAGGGCCATTATTGATTTTTATGTTGACGTATAAGAAAAACTGACACCTACACCTTGGTACATCATCCTGAATCCTGATCCCCTTCCTTCATGCCCATCTCCAACCCTACCTTCAGCCTTTCTTCCCTCCCCGGTGGCTTCACCGTTCTAGTTTCAAATGTGTTTGCTGACTTATGGCCAGAGATGCCGACGATTAATTTGCAAGACAACTCAGAAAGCATACACTGCATGAACTATGTCTTGACTAAGACATATGGTTGATGAGATAATTGGGACCACTGTGGAAACTGACAAGTAAAGCATAAGCTTGACATATTGCTTCTCTCTTTTGGAAAGTTAGCATTTGATTGTAATCTGCGTTAATGCTGTTCACCCAGCAATATACTGAACCAGAGAGCAAGACCTTCATGGTATGTGTGCATTAACCGGATCACCTGGTAAGTTATAATAATGTTAGTGTGTTTGTGCTACATTTGTCTGTTCAAAAAAGTTTCCCTGGTAGTAATGTTTTCCTCACAGTGTTTTACTTCATTTAAAAACAAATGTCCAGGGGTTAAAATGTTTAACTGGTTCCCCTGGTACTATACATATATATTGATGCCTGAGGGTATTTATTAACTATTGTGTGTAGTGTACATCTATGTACACTTTGAAAAAAGTTGCCCAAAGGAGTGTGTAAATACATATAGAGTGTGTTTGATTACTTCCCCCAGCGTACTTGCGCCTGGCTCCTCGCGTGATGACAGACATGTGCAGTGTAGTTAAATAAACAATAGCCGCCCTAGTAGGCCACGTTAAGGGACTTGTGAGTGATCAATTATTGCTATTTGCAAATTGCTTTATGTCATCTGTACCGGTAGCTCTGCCTTTGGAGCTTGCAAGACTGAATTCGCTCTTTACACACTCCGCCATTGGGCATGCAGAGCCTCGATCTGGCAACTTTACACAATAAAAATAGCCGGTGCAGTGATCTGAACCCCGACACGGGAATCACTGAACCGGCTATAGTGTGTAAAGTTGCCAGATCGAGGCCCTGCATGCCCATGACGGAAGTGTGAAAAGAGCGAATTGTAGCTCTTAATGCAGTTATCCTAACTTATTGCATAATGAATAATTCGGTCAGCTTAAAAAATGTCACAACCCTTTTGCATTGTATTTTGAATTGTATTTTGAGAGCATGATGACTTGAAAAATGACTTTGATGATCTGCAACTTTGCCTGATCACTAGTGTCACAGTAGAAATTTTGATTTGCTTCATGTACTAGGCATTTCCTTAAGGGGATGATTATCAAAAATAGTTTCCAGGGTAGTTTTACTTCAGGACATGCAAAGCATTAGCTTACATGAACAAATTGTGAATTATTATCACAAATAAGTTTAACAGGTTCCAGATGGCAAGTTACTATTTTGAGTAACGAGCGTTTGGCATAAAAGCACCACTTCTATTTGAGAAGAAGAGAGCTGTTGACTAATTTATACACGGACAGGGATATTACCCACTAAAATAATGACACTATTTGGTTGTTTATTGAGTACCATGTATTATTGAAATTCAGTACCACATGCACCTTTTTATTATTACGTTACAATGACCGTCAGGTCAGCTGATCAGGAAGTGATGTAACAAATGCTGTGACCTCTGCTCATCTTAAGCTCCAGCTGCAGAGTTACAATCTTCATATGAATGTAAGCTGATTTCCAGTTTTATGACTGACACCTCAGAACCCTTAGGTTACACATTGCCAAAAGCCCTCTCCAGAACTGGCCCTTGTACAAATGTAGGTGAGAGAACTGTGAATGCTGGGAAGTGGTAAGAATCAAAAGCTCTCTAGTCAACATGTGCAAACAGGCTTTCTACTAGTGTTTCCAACTCACAAGTCATCTGTGTATTTTGAAATCAGCTTGCTTACTTCAAGTGATGAATGTGTTACATACCTGTACATGTATACATATTATTTTAAAGTCCAGTGGGCAGAAATTGCTTGGTAAAATGTTATCAAGCTTTCTTTTTTGATAATGGTTTTGTTCATTGTGTGTGTCAGAATATGTGTAAATATGATAATTATGGTGATGCTCAAAATAACTGTCTCAGTGGATTAAAGTACCGATACTGTCCTATACATGTGCTGTTCAAGAAAAACAGTTCATGTCTGATTTACTACAAATCAGACCTTTTATTTCCGTAAAGGTTTGTTTATTACTGCTTTTATTAAAAGTGGTCACTTTAAGATATTTGATGATATGGCTATGAATTGTGATTCTGTAACACGTTACTAAAAATGATGGTTCTTGGATGTTGTGCACAGTTGGGGTTGTCCAGCTACTCACCAAGCACCGTCTGGGTCATCTTTTCTGTGCCTGAATAATATGTGCATCCTACATTTATTATTAACTCAATTTCAGGAATGACACTAAAAATTCTGGAATGAATGACCATATTGAAACATCAGTTTTCCTGATAGTCTTCTATTGTATGACAACTGTTCTGTTCAGTGGTAGCCTTCAGCTGTAATGTTTTTTGATGGACACCTTCCATGTTATTTGAGAGGATTTTGTTTTTGGTCATAGCATTGGGACTTCACTGATAGTTTGTGTACAGGTGACGTGTGATAAAATCATTGCAACTGATATGAGGTGATATGAATGTTTTTAAAAATCCTGATGATGATCTCCACTCATAGTTGTTTGGAATGAGGGTTGTGGGAGTTCACTACAATAATAATTCCATTGTTTTTCTGTATTTTCCAACAAACACATTTCTGAGTAAATGATGAGTTGGATATACGTAGTTTGATGTTTATAACGAACATCACTGTTAGTTGTAAAACTTTTTTTCAGAAAAAAAGGTAAATTATATCAAGCCTTATCACACTGCATCAATTTGTTGAGAAGTGTTGATTAGAATAATGTAATTTATGGAAGTATAATCTGTTGTGACCTTTTTGTCAACAGGTAGGGTTTTCATTGCCTGGATGAGTTGAGGCAGGTTTACTTCATGTCTACATCTTGGCTCAATGGGATGAAGTAAGTGCTTTATTTCTTGTTATTTTGTAATAGATGTGGTTACAAAAAAGTGGCTGCACAACTGCACTTAATTGCTGCAGGCATGATGGCCATATGTTCCTCGTTGTACTCTTTCTTTGGTATGTTTTAAATGTCTCCTATTGTCAATGACATTCCACGAGTTTGTTTTTCATTTAACCCAAACAAATAGTTTTGTTTCCAAAAGTCCATTTTTCCATTTGAGATAATCTGAAATAGTGTTTCAACCATTAGAATGGTGGAAAAATCTATTTCATGTTAGCTTAAAAATGGTTGAACTAACATATGTGTCGGACAATGTTGCTACTAAAGCCAATTGAACAAAATATCACAAGCTGAAGAAAAGGATTTCATCAAATTTTGTGTGGAGCTCATGTCAAATGTATTGTGTAATGTTTTGTATTTGTTTAGTACACACAGAAAAGATTTTAATTTGTAGCTCAGGTCAGTTTTCTCTGTTATTTCCTGCTTCAGACAAAAATCACTGGCTTTCAATAGCCCCTTTACAATTTTTATTAATTTGTAATATAAATAACGGTTACAGAAGTTCAATTAGTGTAACTGTTATGCAACTTCCGTGTAACAAAGGCTAAAGGTTCTCCTTTGTTTCTTTTCAGTTAACCAGTGCAAATGTTCAAGTCTAAAGCTTTTTAGAAAGTGATACACACAATATATGTATGTTCTGTGGTAGCATTTTTGGGAGAACTTTGACTCCCCCATTTTAATCAACTCGATCACTTTTCAAGTTAATGTCTGAATCTCTAGATCTGATCAATAGTGACTTCATGTCAAACTTTCAATTGATTGCAAAGTATCAAGGGCAATTTCTGCCCTTTCATTAACACGGCCCTCTATATGCAATCCATATCCAGACAGGTTTGGAGATGGTTATTCCCTGAATGCTTGGCTGTGGTCACTTGGAGGATGTTGCGTAGGACCCTGGTGTGTTTGAAGGTGGTCTGCAGCTTTAGTGCAGATTAAGCTATTGAGTAGATATCCACGACCCAAGTCTGCCAGCTGCACATAGTTTGGGATTGATACTGACATCTGGTAGGTTATTTATGCAGAGCAAGATTAACCCTTCCTCTCTGGCTGACAAATTCAGCCAAAGCAGTCGAAATCAATCGGTTGACTGATTTAAACAGTTAACAATCCTTTTTACCCCTCAGCCGAGAGGCTCGAGGGGTATTGTCATCGCCTAGGGCGTCCGTCCGTCCGTCCGTAGTGCCGTTCTGACCATACCCCCCTTGTTGGGTGATGTTCCTTTCAGGACACATCACACCACTATTTTCACAATAGAAAAAAACATCACCCCAGAAGAGAATCTTTAGAAAAAGGGATAATGGGAACACAATGCTATCACCCCACAATTCCGTCTGGCTGGAACGTCCCTCCGGGCAGCTTGTTTCCGGATGATAACTTGAGTTAGAAATGTTGTTTTGGATTGTAACTTTGGAAGGGGGTTGCCCTTAGGAGTAGGCAAGTTGGGATTGGTTTTGAGGTCAAAAGGTCAAAGGTCAAGGTCACCGTGGTGAGTTAAAGGCAAATAGTTTCTGGATGATAACTTGAGTTAGAAATGAGATTTTGGTGTCTAACTTTGGTAGGGGGTTGCCCTTGAGAGTAAGCAAGTTGGGATCGGTTTTGGGGTCAAAAGGTCAAAGGTCAAGGTCACCGTGGTGAGTTAAAGGTAAATGGTTTCCGGAGGATAACTTGAATTAGAAATGAAATTTTGGTGTCTAACTTTGGTAGAGGGTTGCCCATTGGTACAGGCATGTTGGATTGGTTCTGGGGTCAAAGGTCAAAGTCACCATGTTGAGTTAAAGGTTAAATGTTTCTGGATGATAACTTGACTCTGGCTGAGGGCTTTCAACAGCAACGCTGTTATTTTTTATATTTGCTATAGCCACGTTTTGACTGGAGGTGATTGATATGCCAGCTGTACCTTCATTGTACCAGTTACCTCTTGTCTGTTGATGGGATTTGACGGTGATCTGACTGTTTGTGATCTGACTGGTTTTTTTTACTATTCTATATACAAATGCATGGCAGGGGTAGTGGAAGAAATTGTTGACTGTTTTGCCAAAGACAAAGTCTGCCGTGTTTACACTCAATTCCGATCCTGCTTCAATCCCCCATTATACAACGAAAGGAAGGTCATTGAGTGTGCACAGAAGATGGCCATTTTCGTGCGTGAATCAGTGCAGAATTGAAAGATTGTCATTCTTTATTGACAATGCTATTTAATTGTAACTCTTTTGCTCTTGTTGCTTGTCTATTACTGTAAATCAAAAAGGATGATTTACATAATATTTTAATCACGCTGGTCCCCCAATTTTTGTTGTAATCTCCACACATTGTCCACACTATCTAGTCCACAAATGACATTGCTGTAACGTGACGTAAAAGCCATGACTTCGGAACGACTAAATTAAGTTGCTTTTCAGAGCACTTGTTTATACTCTATTTAAGGGTATTTAACTCCAATAGAAAACAAATTCGAAAATTAACTTGGAATATGAAAAGATCTAGCAAATCAAATCACGAATCTAAAACAACATAAATTTGCCATATACAGGACAAGATGAGTGAGCGGATTTGGGAACTCGTCGTGGGTAAAGATTTCATCATTTATGGCGATTGTGTAGTTATGGGCCCTGATCCTATAAAGAGAATGTAAATTAAGTTGGCAAGCACCGCGGTCACGGCGTTGCTGAGTGATATGCTAAACCATGCTAAACCATGCAAAGCGCAAACCAGCATGCCAGTCCACTGTGTATTAAAGATTGAGCAGTGTGTTGCAAAATACAAAGCACAAAGAACTAAATGTGTGTTTGTCACGTGGACAAACACGGCTATTTGGCTGTTTTTAAAGTGACTTCATATCTTGTTTAAATGTATCTTGTTTATTGTCCTTCATGTATCGGCAAAATTTCCTGACAGCTGTCAACCACATCGGAATGGTCCAATTCCCTGACGGCAGTTCGAGATGGCATTGGCACCACTAAAACCAGATTTTCTTTTGTTTTACCAGACTTTTTTGCAGACGTTTTAATGGTCCAATCAGGCAGGAGCCGTAACGTTGAAATTCGGTCCTCAAAATACAGGGATGTTTCACACACACTTTCGCCGCTGCTCTTCATAGATTGGCTCAACTGATTGGGAGCTGTCAGTGACGTTGTTCATGGTCCAATCCGGCAGGACTGTGCCACATGATTGCGGTCCACAACAAACAGAAAAGGTACTTTTATATACACATTTCCCCCGCTTTTCGTATATTGGCTGAACTTATCGTGATCTCTCAGTGCTGTAGCGATGCACTTTGTACATAGTCCAATCAATAAAACAAACAGATATTTCACACAGACATTTCAAGTCATCATTACGTCACTTGTCCATGCTCGTCCTTACTAGGTGGTCTTTTCTGTGCCAAGTTTAGGGTTGATCTGATTCCATCTAATGTCAAATTTTGTTTTAAAAGTACAAAAAACATTGAAAACTTAAAAAAGTCAACTGATGAGTCATCAAAATGTCATTTTCACTTATGCATACTATTAACATAATATAACTACCCATCAAGACGAGTAGACATTTTCTGATGTGTTTTTACAAATCGCATTTTTGATGGCGTCATGATGACTCACACATTTTTTAAACTTTAGTGCATCTTTCTATGACCTACCAAACCTATTACAAAAAGAATGTTGACTTTAGCATGTTTTGTTTGTGAGAAACGCTGATGAGATGAACAAATTCCAAAATCAACTAGAGGTTCACATTTGTTGAGTTACAAACGCAGAGTGGTCGGCTGACAACTATGTCATTGGAGACTGCCCATTACTTTTTAAGTTAGGAATATTTTCTTGAAAGAACCAGGGGTGTGAGTGACCACTGATAAAAATAGCTGAAAACAGCTGAAAAAGGTGTAAAAAAGCTGAACTTTGGAAATCTCCTATACTTTTGTACACAGCAAGTGATACAAAAAAGCTGAAATTCAAAACAAAAAAAGCTGAAAATAGCTTTAAAGCTGAGATTTCACACCCCTGAAGAACAAAGGATTACACAATTTTACCTTACCAGTACAACCAATTATTTTGTTTAAAAAGGGTTAAATAAATAAATTTCAGTATACATTTTTATGTACACGTGCATGTAATTTCTGGTTTGATGACGCCATCAGTTTAAAAAAGGGAAGTGAATACTGATTTAATTCGGAGAGGATACATGTCCATCATGAAGTAATTAAAATAACGTATGAAAATATGGAAAATATACTTTAAGTGTATGTATTAAATAACAGCTAACTTCTGGTTTGGTGTCGTCACATCATTAGGGATCCAAACATCATTATATAACCCACATACAGATCCTTGTCATTTGATTGGTGGAACTCGCATCACGTGACATTCGTTATTGCTCCCATTCAAAAAGTACTATCTGCCCATGGGGAATGGGAATAATATTGAACAGTTAGGATCATTCTTGTTCCATGACGCGGTTTTTGTGTGCAAAGGCATGCTGGTGGGCGCGTTGCGCGTAGGGCGGATTGTTCCAAAGAGCCAGCGCTACAGCGTTGGGTTCAAACATTTTCGTGAAGGGGTGGTTTGGAAGAGAGAAATACATTTTCCTCCAGTTTTTATTGAAATAAAAGTTCAAATATATCAAATGACAAGGATCTTTATGTCAGTTGTATAAAACAAATATTGAGTGGCTTTAAATTGTGAAATAGGAGGAATATTAGCGCTCGGTAAAACCTGAACTTTTCCAGTTTACGAGGCGAAGTCCAGATTTTACCTTGCGATAATATTCCTCCCATTCCACGTTGAGCCACTCAATATTTGTATAACACTGTAACGGATTCACAGGGAAGTTTCAGACCTACTTTTACATTGACATTTAAAACAGATATCAAGATTAAATCTCTCAGGGTTGATATTTCAGGAATTTTAAAAGGAAAAGAGCTCTTTTCATTCTGACTTCGATCTAATAATCATCTTTTTTTTTTTCACGCCCATGTGTTCTCTGCATAAAGGCCATCATATATATTAATTTTGAAGCAATTACTGCTAACTTGCCACAATAATCAACTGAAAATTCATTTTAAACATATTTCTACCTGTCGTTAGAGGGCGTTCTAACATTTAATGACATCACTGGTAATTTTTTTTTTTTAAGTTCAACCTAGCCAGAGACTAAGGCTGCATCCGAATCAGCTGTCTAGAGCTAGGTCTAGGTCTGCGCCCATTGAAAACATGCGGGCACGCAGTGACAATAGACGTAGCCGTAGCTTTGGAAGCCCGTTTCGGACACGGCCTTACATCATTGAAAGCAAGTTCACGTCTTTTTGCACTTTCAAATTATAAGGCACTTCCGGTTTGGACCGGAAGGACAGGTCACGTGATTTTGCACCTAATATCAAATATGAAGACCCTGGATTATTTTATCACTTCCTATAAAAAGCAAATCAGATCTCTCACAGTTGATTTTATATTCATTTTCAAAGATTTAATCTAGAAATCTTTGGTTGCTTGTAATCTGATACTTGTTGAGGTCATCGTGACGTCATTAATACCAGAAAGCTCGAGAGCTATGTTAACTGTGCTATTTGAATCAAAAACCTGGATTATATCTCTCGCGGTTGATTTTTCAGCAATTTTTTAAGGTTTAAAATTTCTTTTCATTGTACTTTCCGGTCTGGAGACGTCATCAATATTTCTCCTCAACTTGTTCTTAGTGTAAGACCAAAATTAAGACAGACCCTGAGCACACATCCCTGATACCACTCTCACAACAGGTGTTCCACATTACACCCAAGGTCTTCACGTCACTCTTTTCCAAGCAATACACCCACAGCATACCAAGACTGTGATTTAACCCTTGTACAGGGGAAAGTGACCTCATAAGGGTACTCCCCCACCATTACGTCAGTCTATGGTCAGTCTACCTTTACTCAGAAATGATGTCATATAAGTTATGTTTTCCTTATATGACATCATCTCCTATTTTCACTCCAAGTGGTCCCTCTGAAACTGTATAAAATGTCCCCATTTTCCCACTTTCATTGAGTTCTTCTTCTTCTCCCTGGGAAACCAGATGCATAGCCATAAGCTGATTCAGCCCTATGCTCTGGCCAGTCTTCATCTACAAAACTCTTCAGAACCTCTGTCTTCTGTCTCCAACTTCTGTATTCTAGTACCCAGCCATACCCATAAGCTGATGCAGCCGTATGGTTATAGTTCTGTACATACACAATACCGGTAGAATATTGAGTTCTTGAAAATAAACCAGTTTTCCATATAGCCGAGCTCATAGTCATTACCAGTGTGTCTTTGTATAGTCTTCGTAGTCATCTGTTCATCCTGCTCTTAGCCACAGCTACCCTATCCTAACATATAGTATAGTCAAACAAACCAAAGACTATAGTCAAATCTATATGTTACATTAGCATGAAGCTGACTATATACATCAATTATAAAGCGATTTCAGCAACTTTCGCCACATGCATCAACTGATTAGTCATTTTAAAAATTTGTCAACCTGCAGCTAGAGGGCGCTGTAACATATTGAGACGTCACCGGTAATTTGTTTCTAAAGTACAACGCAGCCAGAGACTAAACTCGTTGAAAGCAAGTTCACATCTTTTTCCACTTTCAAATTATAAGGCACTTCCAGTTAGGACCGGAAGGAAGGGTCACGTGATTAATCGCACTCGAGTTAAATGAGGATCCTGGATTATTCTATCAGTTCCTGCGAAAATCAAGTTTCAGTTTCTCACAGTTGATTTTATATTGATTTTCACAGATTAAATCTAAAAATTGTGTATTGTTTGTAATTTGACACTGGATGACGTCATGACGTCAGAGTAATATGCACCACTAGGGATGAGGGACGATATATGTTGAAAGTTGCAAGTTCCATGCCATATAACGTTTAGGAGAAAACCTGTGGAGAAATTTTGTCAGGAAAAAAAGTATGAACGAAAGAAGATTTATTACAACTATTCTAAACAGTGGTGGGGTTGTGCCCAGCCACTCAATTAAAAAATCACATGATGAGGTCATCATGATGACACCTCGATTTTCATCTATAACACATCCCTGACTTTGTACAGACAAAGTTCAACCCAATCGCCTCTGTAAGATGACATCACTGGGCTGCATTTTTATAGGACGTGAACATATTTGAATATTTTTATTTGTGTATGTTTTTTGATAACACAATTTGAAATGGTGTTATTTTGACCTGTTTGACCTCCAGGACGGATGTGCTGTGACCGCAACTCATTGTCCATCAGGAGTGACTTGCTGTGACAGAACACTTGTGATCTATCTGGAGGGATTTGTGATGACAGTCACCCATTGATCACTCGGAAGGAAAAGGCATTTACTGTAATATCAACCCATTAATCCCTCTGGGGGAGTGACCCATTGATCTCTCAGGATAGGAGGAACTTGCAATGACAGTGTTGCATTGATGTATCCGGAGGACTTTGCTGTGAGAGGGTCACCCATTGATCAAAGAGGAGGGACTTCTAGTAGAGGCTTGGGTTAATCAAATCAAATTTTGTCAATGTCCACATTGTGCACCCCTTTCAGAAATTAAAATTTTTATTTTGCGGGAAAAAAACGCATTTAACATTTTTGAATTGAGATCTGGTGCAACTAACATGTTAGTTTTGCTGTGAATGTGATCCATTGATTGGTTGACAATGTTTGATGAATTTAAAAACTTGAAAATGTTGACATTTTCCCATGGGGGCGCTGTTAAAAAACAAACATCATGCACAATTTCCACGGGACGTTAAAATCAGGAGAGTTTTCCTGCAAATTAAAGGGAATGTACATCATTGGCTTTTGCTGTAATTTTCAGAAATGAACTATTTGAGGGGTTAGTATAATAGATCAAATATTGTTACACTGACATTTTTGAAGTTTTGTGTTCGAAAAGGTTGGAAAAACCAAGAAAAACAAAAATGTTCAAGTAGTCTGGTTCCCTGACTCCACAAAAGATAAAATGGATCAATTTATAGATGATGGAAAATTGTAAGGCAATGGAACCAGTCTAGCTGGCCTGCACCCGTTCATGAACATGTAACCAATAACAAACAAGATTTGGACTGACAAAATGGTCAATTTGGAGCAGTAGTTGAAAAATAGTTAGGTTTTTCCAACGCTGATCGGCCGACCACCGTTGGAAATGTATACAAAAATACAATTTTCTTGAAAATGACTTCACACCAGGTGCCATAATTTTACAAGATGCTTGAGACTGTCATTAACCAACATCCTAGTAAGGTATTTCGTAAAAACTTGGTAGTTTTATTTTTTGATGTTTGCAAATGTTGTATATTCCCTTTAAACAGAAAAAGGGGGAAAAAAGGCACTGTATGTTAAACCCGCTATTAGCATGTTAACTTAAAGAGCTGTGATTTTCTCCGGTTGCCAAATTTCCAGTGGGGAGGCAACAATGCAACTCCCCCCCCCCCCTTACCTTTTATAAAATGTATATGTTTCAGTCTGGATTTGTTGCCAAGCAGTTCAACATTTTATACCTGTGGCCAATACTTTTTTATGGTTGTATATATTTTTTATTAATTGCCATCTTTATTTGGAAAACGATTCAGGGAAGCTATTGCTCCTATTATTTGTGGTTCTAATGATATCTATCTGTAAGGGGTTAAAAACAAAGACGATGGGCATGACAGCAGCACTAGCTTCATTGTCGCCGTTGAGGGCTCGTCAATTGTATTGTACTCGTTCCTCTAGGATTGAGAGCCGTGTAATCCACTGAACTATTTACGGACTAGTGCTTATGAAGCTGATGTTAGATTTATCTCCGTCAGTGGCCTGACAGGCATGCATTTCATTGACTAGGAAGGCTGGTGACCCGTGCTTGTGGACTTGGCTTTGTGACCATAATTCGACAGGCCAGTGGTACCTGTGTCATAGTTCATTCAACTCCATGTTTAGTAGCCAGGATATGCTGAACTGACGAGTGTTGATGCTGATGTCCTCATGCACCATCAGTGATGTTCGTGTAGGCAAAACAGGGCCTAATTTCATGGATCTCCTTACCGTTGTTGAACAATTCAGTGCTTACGGTTAACATATTTCATGGGTTAACAAGATTTTGTGCTTACAGCTTGTTTTGCTATTGCTGTTGGCACAGAATGGTGATCGTATGTGTGGAATTCTGTGGTGAGTAGAGCCATGAAATTAGGCCATGTTATGTGCACACCATCATCCTTCCATAAGGATTTATTTGCTTTTTTTGATTGTATAACTTTTTGATGTGAAATTCATGGATTTTGATACATTTGATTGTATTTTGATGTATGGGATTCTGGGTTTAGGATTTAGAGGTTGCACTATTTTGCAAATTGAATCCGTTTGCTTTTGGATTGATTTTTTTTCTTCTTCAAATGTTATTGTCAGTGTACAACAAATTCAATTTGCATTTTTAGTTTGGTTGAGTCACCTTCTAAAAACAAGCATCAAACAAGTAATGGTTAGTTTCTTTGCTCCTTCTGCACGATTATGTCTGACAAGGAGGTACCTTGAATTGAACATTTACACTAAAAGAACAATGCACAATTTAATGCTCACACAACAGTTTCCATAAGCTCTCGTAGCTACATGTAGTTATACCCTATAAAGACCAATGTATACATGTATATTATTAAATTCAAAGTTAATCTAAACGAATTGAAAATGTCTGAAAATGAAATGTGTTGGTAACTAAGTAGGAAATCACATTGAACAAAATGAACTTTTCTCCTGAGATTAATATTTCTTTGTGAACGATAACATCTGTTAAAAACCAAATTAACAAAAATGTAATAGTGGGATTTGTAAAGATTAATTCCAGCACAGTTTTGAGACCACTTTAGAGACTATTTGTGCTTGCGATGTGCTTGGTATTATAGAATTGAAACAGTATGTATACCTTGGTTTACAAAGAGTAAAATTTGGTTTTAAAAAGGAGTTTCGCATAATTAAAGATCATCTTATAAGATGAAAACAGTTCAACTCTGGTTGAAATTTGGGATACAGGTAAGTTATCTGCATAAAAAGCTGTGATGGATGTCAACAGGTTGCCACCACCTCCAGAAAACAAATGTCCCTCCTCTACTCACCATTAATTATGGGGAGTAAAGGAGGCAGATTTTTTTTTTCTGGAGGGGGTGTTAATAATAATACATACTAGTTTGCTCCTTAGTTTGTTTCCGTTGTATTTCTACTTGATGAGAGAACCCCAAAATAATTTCCTTTAAATATTGGCACAATACTTTCAATGTACTGAAAGGAAACAATTAAAGGATTGAATCACTGTACACTGCGGCGCTTCTTGATGGATGGATGAATAAATACAACTTAAAGGGCATTTCTTGTTGAGTTGTTTCTTTGTAGTGTCATAGCCAGTATCTTCTTGGAAACATAAAGGTTTCTCTTGGAGTTCGTGTTGAAACATAATTTGATGCAGTTTCAACTGCTATTGTAGGCGTGGTGTGTTGTTGCTGGGGTTCTACTTGATGTCTCAGTGAAGACAGCTTCCTCCTCGCGGCTACCACTCCCCTTGCATGAATGAACTCCATGCCTTGACCCTTACTCAGGGTCACATAATTATGTAGGAATGCAGATGGTATAATAATATTATTACATTTACATCTCTCAGTCCTCCATTGCTCTTTTTAATGAAGAACTGGTCAGTTACGTTCTCTCGAACTGACATATTCGTGCCGGACATTTAGTATGTCTTGTGTATTTCGTATGACAAGCTTTGGTGACCCATCAATGCAGGGGCGTAAATCCGGGGGCAATCTGGGGGGGGGGGGGGGGACAACTCTCAGGCTTGTATAAATATATATCTCTCCCCCCCCCCCCCTCTCTCTCTTTTTGACCAGGCCTGGGAGATGGGCTGTTAGATCATTCCCCCCCCCCCCATCCCCTTTTTACGTGGTGAAAAAAAAAGGCGCATAAAGCCCCCCCCCCCCAAAAATCTCTGGTTTCTGGTATGCGCGCGCGTCACCGTAGCCGTGCGCATCGGCAAAATTAAGTGCATATTGTAAAGTCCTATATCTAGAGAACTGTAAGTCCGATTGGGTTGAAACTTGGTATGTGGGTAGACCGGGATGTGTTATAGGTGAAAATTAAGGTGACGTCATCATGACGTCATCAGGGGTCACGTGACGTCATCCTAAAAGTGCATATTGTAAAGTCCTATATCTAGAGAACTGTAAGTCCGATTGGGTTGAAACTTGGTATGTAGGTAGACCGGGATGTGTAATAGGTAAAAGTTGAGGTGACGTCATCATGACGTCATCGTGTGATTTTATATAAATTTTTGGACCTTTAAGCCATATCTCACGAACGCAACATGCAAAATTCAAAATTCTTTTCGTATTATGTTTGTTTGGTAATAGGTATTTGCACAAAATTTTGAAAAATGTGTGACATCATCATGACGTCATCAAAAATGCAATTTTTAAAAACACATATAAGGGAAAGTCCGATCGTCATGAAAATTGGTGGATAGCTAGATAATGGTACTAGTATGCAAATTCCGAAAAGACGTCGCCATGAGTCATCGGTTGATTTTTTATGATTTTTTTTTCATATTTACAATTACAGCCCGCTTCCAAAATTTAACACTTCCTTTCATTGAATTGACTTCAACCTTAGTACAAACCAAGACCACAATGCAAAAATGTGCATTGACAAGTGTAATCAAGATGATGTCATCGTAAGGGCATGTGACATCTTCAAATGCCAAAACGTCAATATGACGCCATTAGCTAATTTCTCTACATTTGATATGTGCTGGCTATACTAGCTCAATATAACTTTTTATGAACTTTAAAAAAAATATAATTTACATGACTGTATTGGTAAAACCGCATAAAGTCATACATTAAAAAAACCCGGAAAAGCCCTATGTTCTGTTTTTAAACAGATATAGACCTCTAGTTTTTTTTTAGCTTATGGCAATTTAACAGGCGGGTGATTTGTTAATTTTGGTGATCCCCAATCCCCCCCCCCCCTCTCCCCGGCACAGAATTACGCCCCTTCGTACTGCAACAATCTGCAGCAACTCTCGAGCTTACGGCTTACGCTAAGTTTGTCAACACGGTTCCACCACACCATCCTGCAACTTGCAACGCTATCAGCTGCCATTTAATAGTGTCCTCCATATACTTTTGTTCACGACGATAACGTCTGTTTGTTCTATTTTGCCGGACATTATGTCTGACGGACATTATGTCTGACGACCGCGATAATGTTCGACGTCCGATAAGTCCTAGTTTACATTATACAAATAATGAATGTTTGTGAGTGCAATGGTGAATAAATCCTTGTCATCTGATTGGTTGACTTTTAATAGCCAATTTATTCAGGTTAATAACTGTTTGAAAGTTTGACAAGGAAGTTCATCATATTTAATTTGTGCAAAGTGTTCAACAGGTTGAGAACCATCATTATTCAAGTAATCTCGATTTAAAACAGCGCCACCGCCAGCAGCGATGAGACCGTGCAATGGAAGTTCTATTCACCGTGCAATAACTTCGATTGCACTGTGCGCTGCGCGCCGCGCGTGCGCCGTGCGTTGGGACGAATAATTCAATAACATGTGATCAATGATCCACCAATCAGATGACGGGGATTTATTCAGTTGTATAATCCATTTTATAACACCTCACCCACAGATTCTGTGTCTTGATTGGCCGAGAGCGAGTCACATGTTACTTTCTAATTTTGCTATCTTTCTGTGCACGGCCAAAAGTACTATACCATTAGCAACCAAAGAACTATTTCCACGGCGCGGTATTTGTGTGCAAATGGATGCTGGTGTGCGCGTTGCGCGTAGCGCGTATTGTTCCAAAGAGAGCGCGCCGCAGACTTG